ACATACAGCCCCTACAGCCACCCCTGCATCCCCCATGTCACCCCCACCTCCCCTCCTCTGTCCATACAGACAGCCCCAGGGCTCCTACCCCCCTATAGCCACTCCTGTGCTCCCCCCACGCTCCCCCCTGACCCCAACACAGCCCTCACCAACCCCATCCCTCCCTCCAGCCCCTATAGCTGACCCCACACCACCCCTCCATCCCCAATAGCACCGACTGCAACGGGCAAAGTCCTTTATTGGCTAAGGCAATGCTGTGGGAGGGGGCACGCATCTCCTCCCCACGCGGCCCCCCCACTCCTGAGGGTCCATAGCAGAGGGGGGCATGGGAGGAACCCTGCTCCCACGGGTTCCTCACCCCCACGTTAAGGCCACTGGAAAAACAGGGACGGGTCCCAGCACTGTGCAAAGAGGGGACCCCCCCAACCCCCACATCTCACACCACATCATCCCCAGGATCTGCAGAGGGTCCCTGCAGGATGGGGGGATCCCGGGGGGGGTCCCAGGGGGGTCAGCTACAGGAGGGTGCAGTCTGAGTTCTGTTTGTGCCTCTGTCTCCGCTCCGGCGTTGGGCGGCTGCCCTGCTGCGCTCGGCCCTACAGACAGACAGCAGGGATGGGGACGGGGGGAGGACGGAGCAGAGGAGCACAAAGAGGGGACCCTGATACCTGCGGGGGGGCCGGAGGTGGCCGCTGCTGCTGCTGCTGCTGCTGCTGCTGGTACTCCTCCTGCTGCAGCTGCCGTGCCAGCTCCAGGTCGCTGAGCACCGAGGGGCCCTGGCCCTGCTGTTGCTGCAGGGATAGGGCCATCATATAGTCCTGGGCATGGAGGGAAGCACAGAGAGGGGTGGGCGCAGTGCTGGGGGGCACCCATCCCACTGGGGGGGCTCCCGTCCCCTTGTGACCCCTCACCTGGTCCAGCTGGCTCTGCTCCGGAGCGGCTGCCTCTTTGCCCAGGGCATGGCTGAGGTGGAACTGCGTGTCACAGAAGCAGCTGTCACCATCCACGTTGTGAAGGCTCTCCCACACCACGCGCTCCTCCTGCAGGAAGCCCTGGTCCGTCACCAGCAAGTACAGGTGGCCCTGGGGACAGGGGAGGGGGACAGAGAGACTCAGAATCGTGGTGGGGACTCACAGCCTCCTCCCATTCCGCATGCTGGCTGCCCCCCAGCAACTCAGGCTGTGCTGGCCCCATCCATGGGGGCACCCACACTGCCCCCACGAGTGAGGAATTCCCTCCAACCACCTTCCCAACCTCTCCTCTTTCAACTTAAACCCCTCTCCCTGGTCCCATCCCCATATAAAGTCACCCTCCATCTGTGTTCAGCCCTGCAGGGCCATGCCCAGGCTGTGCTGTTCAGGAACTGGCCCTGCAGGGCAGCAGGGCAGGGATCAGCACTGGGTCACACCACACCTTGTGCTTTATCATAGTGCTGAAGTGGTTGTTGCGGAAGAAGACGCTCAGCTCCTCCTCCTTCACGGCGGCCGTCAGCTCGCACAGCCCGTGGTAAGTGAGCTGGGAGGCTGTGGACTCCAGGAACTGCTCAGCAATCAGCCCTGGGGGTGGGGGGGGGGATGTGAGAGCAGGGTCAGGGCGGCCCTGAACCCCCCAGCACAACTCCCACCTTCAGTCACCAGGTTGGGGTCACCGGAGTGTTTGCAGGTGATGATCTTCTCCACCAGTTGGTTGTAGCTCAGTTTGCCCACGGCTCGCACCACCTCGGGGCTCTGCAATGGGAGGGGAGGGGGAAATGTGTAGGAAATGATAAGGATGGGAAAAATCACACCGAGGGAGGGGGCGGCTGCCACGTCCTGCCCCAACCCAGGGAGCTCAGCCACACACTGCTGCATCCCTCGGGGTCATCAGTGCCCCCAGAGAGAGCCCACCCCCAGCACCCACCTGTGGGTCCACCAGCCAGCCGTGGTACAGAGGGACGTTGAGGAGGTCGAAGACGATGCACTCTGGGGTGTACTCGAAATCGGAGACGCCCGTGAAGCGAACGTTCACATCCAGACCCGTGGAGAGCTTGGGCAGCACCATCATGGTGTCATTGACGTTCTGGGAGGGAGTGAGCAGCATCAGGTCCTGCTCAGGAGGAGCCCACCGCCCAGCACTGTGCAATGGTTGTGCTCAGAGCTGGGAGATGTGAGGCACTCTGCTGTCCTCACGTCGTGCATAGAGGTAAAATGGGTGGGTGGCCCCCGTCCCACCTCACTGCCCACCTGCTGGAAATTCAGCTGCAGCCCTTCCGACTTTTCCTGGGGTTTGATGGACAGGATGCAGTCCCCTTGGATGCAGTGCAGAACGGTCACTCCGGGGCTCCCAGTGGTGCACGGAGCCCAGTGCAGCTCAGCCCCACGTTGGGAATCCCTCCCCTGCCTGTTCCTCCTCTCCCCGACCAACCCTCCCCAAAAGAAAGGGTCTGGGTCCCACATCCCCCTCCTCCTCTGCACCCAGAGGGAATATCCCTCAGAAGCTGTGCACAGGGAGCGTGGTGGGAAGACAGACCCCATGGGCAGCAATGAGCCAATGGGTGGCAGATGGGAACCACTGCCTCACACCCAGCCCAGGAACCCACAGTGACAGCACTGCTCTCCCCCCCCCCCCAACTCCCACTCACCCAGATGTGCCATCAGCTCATCCGATGTCACCACCTCCTTCTGCGGGGGCAGCTTCACCTGGAAGCACATTGGATGGGGAGGGGGGTGGTCAGAAGAGCCCCCCAGTGCTGTAAGCCTCCCAGCTTGGCAGCACAGACCAAGCTGGATGAAGCAGCAGGCTGAGACGCCTTCACTCTCCTTTTCCTTCTCACCATGTTACCTCACAACCCCCAGCTGCCCCCCCCGAACCCTGAACCCTATTGGGGTTCTGTGGAGCAAATGTGACTGACCTCATGGCCCCCTGCTGCTCACCTTCCACTGCAAGAAGAGGATGTTCATGATGGCCAGCAGCGGGCAGGGCCCATTCTCACTCTGGGTGATGATGGGAGTCCGTTCTCCCTTCCACGTGATCCACTTCACACAGTAGAAATCGGGTTCAGGCTCACGGCTGGGGGAGCGGGCGCTGGGGGGCTCAGCTGCTGCCTGGGGAGATGCATCGACCTCCCTGGGGGTGGGCAGTTCTTCCTGGGCATTTTGGCTTCTGCTCTCCTGGTGCTCAGCGGGATCCTGGTGCACAGCAGGATCTGTGGTGCTGGGATGGGGCACCTCCTCCTGCAGTGCAGGGCTGTGCCCGCTGGCAGATGGAACATCCCCCCCTTCTTCGGACCCTCCTGTGTCCTGTGGCAGCTGGCAGGGCTCAGGGCTGCTCTTTGGGCATTGGTCATCATCCCCTGTGGTGCTGAGCATCCCCCCCAGCTCAGACTGCAGCTCCATCCTGGCAGCTCAGAGCATCTGACAGCAGTGCTGTGTGGTCCCGAGGATCCTCTGATGGGATGGATGCTCCCCAGCAGAGCACTCAGTTCTGTCCTGCTTCGGTCCCAACCTCCACTTTCTTAGGATGCAAAGTCCGGATACTCCATAAAAAAACACATGTAGGAACCCAACTCCCTCACCAGGCACTGACTGTCACTTCAAAATAACTGAAACAATCCAAAGGAGCACCGATCTGAGACACCAAACTGCACAGCAGATCTAAAAGGCCCCTCCAGGGGATGCTCAGCCTGCAGGGCGCTGCTGGATGGCAGTGCTGGGCACTGGGATGTCCTCACAACCTCCTCCTGCTCCACTCAGCTGCTCACTGTGGATGACAGGCAGTGCTCTCCCAGCTCTGCCTCTGTGTGTGCACCCACATTCCAGCTGTTGGCAGCTCCAAGAAAGCCAGCACAGCAGCGTGTGCCCTCTGTGCCCCCCACCAGCAAGGAGTGAGGGGTGTCAGAGCCACCAGAGCCGAGCTGAGGGCTGAAGCGTTCCACCCACACCCTTACTCTGCTGTCAGCCCAGCCCAGAGCCACAGAACAGCAGACAAAGGTGTCCTTGAAGGCGTTTATCCGCCGCTGTCCCCGTCGGATGATCACCACAGCCAAATCCTGGAGTTACACAAACAGAACAGGGCTGCTCCGTCGCGGTGCTGGCGCAGTTCGCATTTCTCCACCTGCAGCTCTGCCCATGCTGGTGTTCCTCCCACAGCCTCTCCTGCACAGAGACCAAAAAGGAAACAAGTTGGATGAAGCAACGTCACCAACGGAGCAGCTCTGCTGTGTCCCTGAACCCAGAGGTACAGCATTACCCAGACCCACAGCCCCGAGCTGCGCTGGGTCTCAGTGAGGCTCCACGCAGAGCTCCGGCCGCCCCCCACCCCCATCCATCCCTACTTTCCCCCCATCCATCCCCATTTTCCCCACTGTTGCCTCTCCCCGTGGGGCCGGACGGCTCTGCTGAGGCTCACACCTGGGCTGAGTCACTGACAGATCCCATTACGCCTTAATCCTTCTCCTTCCCCCTCCCTCGCCCAGTGCTGAGTTGGGCGCTTTGGCAGTGCTGTTGTTTCCAACCTGGAGGGGCTGCAGGAAGGGCTGCGGTGGATAAATGCAGAGCAAAACAGGTGTTGCCTGCTGTGGAGAAACTACGAGGTGTTGGGGCATAAGGGAATCTTGGCCCGATGATGAGGGGCCTATTATGGCTGTGAGCCTGGATGAGTTTGTTAAGCCGTATCTGCGCAACCTCTATGCTTAGTCACACTCTTGTGTAACACGGAAGGGATATGGGGACCAATGAGGGGTAACTGGCCCATATATGGTGATTTTTATTAAACCAATCAGTGTGTTATTCATTTCATTTAGAACCAATCATTGCACTACAGACGCAAGAAGGGAACACAAAGCAAGTCATCTGCGCAATAACTGAGCACTCGCAGCATCATATTGGTGTGTGTGTCTCCTGCTTCACCGTAGGAGGGTTGTGCCATTTGCATGTGGTGCCTCGATGTGATTTGGTGATGCAGCTGTCCGGCATGCAGGTAAGCCTGGCATCTTTGTGGTGGACAAGTTTTGCATGCAGTAACTCATGGGCAGCGTGGGTCAAACAGCATCCGCTTCGGAGAGGGCAGCTGTACAACATTTGGTCTCTTTTTCTACACAAATCGGGCATCTTATCAAGCAGCTGGAGCTGGTCTTGCTGCTTCGTTTCGCCCAGCACAAGGGCAATCTTCTGCTGACCTGTTTGATGTGAGACATTGGATGAACATCAGACAGGAGCTTTCAGAGTCCGTGGCCGTTAATAATAAGGAAGCGCGGTTATCGGCACCCACAGTTGATGATGTTAAGGGTGATGCTGCTATCATAGAGGCATTGCAGGGAGCTTTGATGTTGGCAAAGCCCCTGCTGGCCTGCCCTGTTGATTCTATAGGCTTCTGGTCACAGGAGCAAGTCTCTTGTCCCCTCCTAGTGCTCCCTGAGCTGCCTCCAAATGCAGCGGCCGTGCATCCAGCAGAGGATAAGATGGATGTCGATTTGTCCTCCTCCCACATCCTTCCTCCGTTGCCTCCATCTCTCACCTATTCGTTGGATGAGGAGTCAGCTACGTTTTGTGAACTTCACACCTCGCTACGGGAACAAAAGATGCAGGATCTCAATCCTAAAAAGGATTCTAGGACCATTCAGCAGCAATATCTGAAGCCGTGTTGCCTGGGTTGACCAGTTTGGAAGAGCAGCTTATCGGTGTTGGGTGTCGTGGTCCGGGGGGAAGAATGGCAAAGGGAGGGTGGTGTGTCTGTAGAGGAGCAATGAGGGTCATCTGAAGGGAAAGATGGGCCTTTGAGAGACAGGCAGCTTCGGTGGGTGGTGCAATGAGTGAGGGATGGTGAGATGCTGGAAGTGGCTGCATATCGGGAATGGAATCGGTGGGGGGAGGAAGCTGAACACTTGCTAATACGTTTTTTGGAAGCAGAAAAGAAGGAAGGAAAAGGTGAAGGGCTTCAGAAAGGAAAGGGTGCAATAGGGGAGGATTTGAAGGCTGAGGGAAAGGATTTAGGAAAGCTGTGTTGGTGGTTAAGGAGGGAAAACAAAAAGTCCTTTGATCAGAGCAGGAGCCAGATTTATTTCCACCTGATCCGGATGGCTTTGATCCGGGACAGAGATGGAAAGGGGTAATGAAGGATGCTCTTCTAGAAGGAGTGATGTTACCAAAATCTTTTACTGCCCTACCAGCAACGGTGAACCCACAGAGTCAGGTACAGTGGACCCCTTTTGATTGGAAAACTGTTAGTAATGCAATACAGAATGGATAATAAGCTGGTAGTGCAGATGGTTACAGCTGTTTTTAAAGGTCAGGTTTTGGTACTGTCAGCTAATGGAGCTGGTATTGCCACCTACTGCCTATTTACTTTTCTCAGAAAGGCAGATGCAGCTCTACTACAGGATCTTGAGTTACGGGATGGGGATTCCCATAGTGGCTAATAGGGATATGCTGGTAGGTTGGGGGAATTGGACTGTGGGTCTGGCTGAAGCTTTGATGCCACCAGCAGTGATTCAGCAGGCACAAGATTTGGCACTAGCAGCCTTTAGGGACCCAGCACCCGTCGTATGTCGACATCAAGCAGAAGCGTGGAGAATCCTTTATGCAATTTATTGATTGCCTGAAGGAAGCGATTGATGCGTTGCCAAATTTGACAGCCGAGGCCAAAGATGCAGTTTTAAAGGATTTAGTGGTGATTAATGCAAATTCCCAGTGTCAGCAGATTATAGCTTCCCTGGGTCGAGATGCTTCCCTTACTGCTATTATTGAGGCTTGTATGGTGTTGACCATGGAGAAAGTTAAAGCTAGAGCACAAGCTGATGTGTTAGCAACTGTATTAAAAGATATGATGGGGGTGCCTTTGCTGCTATATTTTTGGACAGCCTGGGCATTTTAAAAAGCAATGTCCCCATAAACCATGCAGGCTGGCATCTGGCCCATGTTTCCAATGGAATAAGCCAGGGCATCAAGCAAAAAGTGATGAGCCTGAGACTCTCGCAAACAGGGAAACACAAATCCCCATCCCAAGGGGGGTGGAATGGGGGTTCATGACAAAAGCCCTGCAGAGGACTGGTTGCCTGCTTGACTGAGCTACTGGAACCAAAGGATCTGCAGGAGTCGATTTGGCTGTAGGACAACTCATCCAAATAGATGATATTGCTGTGCATTTAGTTGCATCTGATTGTTCCGGGCCATTGGGGCAGGGTCTGAGCATTCCTGTCATTGGGAGGTTATCTGCAAGCACAGCAGGGATATTGGTTGTCCCAGGAGTAGTAGACACTGATTAGATGGGAAAATGTATCTTATGGTGCACATCTGGTTCCCCCCAAAAAAGCTGGGGAGTGAATTAAAGGGAATTGATTCCCTTTAAGGCCAATGTTCTGAAACCAGGTGTGACATACAGGGGATCTGCTGGCTTCACTGGGCTGACAGCAGCCTTTGTGGAACAAATAACACAAAAGAAGCCTCTAAGAAAGATTTGTATTAGCAGTCATAATAAAAAGATAGAAGCTCTTTTAGGCACCGGTGCAGATGTGGCCATAGTTCCTGATTCTGTATGGCCACTTTATTGGCCAACAAAACCAGCTGCAGCTCAAATTATAGTATTGGGGGTCGATCAAGCACTCGGCAGAGCCAAGTTCTGCTTACTTTGGTTGGCCTTCAAAAGAACCTCTCTGCCTTAATAAGGCAGCCTTATGTTCTTCCTGCACTGTATGTCATTATCAGCAGGGAAATCTTATGGTAGTGGGGGGTATCAATGATTACACCTTTTTAGCAGCAGCCATTCTCGAAGGTAACCCTGTGTACAATTGGAATGGGTTACAGAACAGCCTGTTCTGGCCACTATCAGAATTTATAGTTACTGAGCTATCAAAATTAGTAGAACATGTAGCTAAAGGACATTTACAACCCTCTTTTCTCTTGGGATACAAACAAAAAGAAATTAGGAAAATGGTGTTTGCTTCACAATCTGTAATGAAATGCTGTAATGAATGATGAACGCTGTAATGAAAGAGATGGGGCCATTACAATTGGGATTGCCTAGTCCGAATATGCTACCTGGAAATTGGCAGCTGTTGGTAAAGATTGCTTTTTCACCATTCCTTTACATCCTAACAATTATGAGAAGTTCTCTTTTGCAGGATGAACAATAGCAAAAAAGTGATATCACTGGGTTGTGCTCCCACAGGGAATGATAAATTCACCCCCAATGGTTGACCAGGCTTTACAGTCAGTTAGGAAAACTCATCCAGAGGACATTATTTACCATTACATGGATGATGTTATTATTGCATCACAACGGATAATTGAAGAGGGAATGGTAGAAGAGCTACAATCCATCTCGCACCCATTTAGGGTTTAGTAACAGCTCCAGAAAAGGTAGAGTGGATGGAACCTTTCTTGTACCTGGGCTATAAAGCAACTGGGGAGACGTTTCAACCACAAAAGGTGCAGATTAGGGTTAATATCAAAACAGTACAGGATGTCATGAAACTGGGAGGGGGTCTGCAGTGGATTCGGAATTGCATCAGCATTAATATTATGTTAGAACCATTGTTTGCTTTATTGAGGGATGCTAAAACGATAAGCAAGCCTCACAAACTAACAAAAGAAGCACAAGAAGCCATACAAGCTATCAGTGGCAAGCTAGAAAATAATACACATCACCTTGAACTGTCCCTTCCAGTGAACTGTTATATATGAGGCAATTATATGGGCCAACATCTCAAATGTCACGGTGGAGGTAGGGAAATTAAATTATTTGGCTGACATTACTAAGCTACCTAACTACAATTCACCAATGGAACAGAGGTATTTGATAAAGAATCTCTGGAATATCTCAAGGCTGCCACCACAAGAATTGCATTTGTTAGGGTCAGTACCCCCATCGTCATGGCAGGATATTTGTATGGATGGATTGTTATCAGATGACTGAGATGATGGATGTGTAAGCAGGATGGGATGTACAACATTTGGGGGTGCCTGGCAGTTAGTTGTTACTTCATGGAATGATTTTTTGGGTTTTTTTTTTGGTCCAACAGCCCAGAATGTTACTGGATGCAGTATCTTGCCATGTCGATCCATATCAACAGGTGCAGAAGATCATGGGGGACATCCATTACCCCCTGGCTATTTTTTTGATCTGTGGCAACCAGGCATGGCGTGGAATTCCCCAGAAGCTTGGATCTGGATGGATGGCTACAGGACCTGGTTAAATATGGTATTGTGCTGTTAATTGTGTTTTTGTGTCTTCTCATTTGTATTCCTTGTTGCTTTACAAGGCGTGATTACGCACAGTACGTCTCTGCTCTTCATAGAAAAAGGAATCCCACTGTCTGGGACTCCATATTCATATGGTCCCTTTAAATAATAATAAAAAGGGGGAGATGTGGAGAAACTACGAGGTGTTGGGGCATAAGAGAATCTTGGCCCAACAATGAGGGGCCTATTATGGCTGTGAGCCTGGCTGAGCTTGTTAAGCCATATCTGCACAACCTCTATGCTTACTCACACTCTTGCAGAACACAGAAAGGATATGGTGACCAATGAGGGATAACTAGATCATATATGGTGATTTTTATTAAACCAGTGTGTTATTCATTTCATTTAGAACCAATCATTGCACTACAGACGCAAGAAGGGAACACAAAGCAAGTCATCTGTGCAATAAACTGAGCACTTGCAGCATCATATTTGGTGTGTGTGTCTCCTGCTTCACCATATGAGGGTTGTGCCATTCAGGTGTGGCAGCCTGCCCCACACAGGGAAGGTGCAGGCCGTGCTGTTGGAGCACAGAGGAAGTGAATGAATGGTGAAGAGGAAAGGCTGAGCATCCTCACAGTGCGCTCCATGGGGATGCAGAATGCAGTGCAAGTGCTTCCTCACAGCCCTGCTGCCCCCCACAGCAGCAGTGGGGTCAGGGACCCCCACACTGCACCATCTTTGCACATCTGCTCCCACTCCAGGTGGGGCTGAATGGGAAACTTCCAAGGAAAGAAGCAGGGGGAGTTTTGGAGAGCACCTCACAGGGTGCTGGCTCCGTGCCTCCCCCACCCACCGGGGATCCCAAAGTCAAAACGCACCCAAAGATGAGGCAAAATCCTCCGAAACGCACAGAAACCCAAACACTCAGGTGTAAGATCTGACAAGCAGGAGCTCTGCTCCCAAAAGGGGTTCCTTTCTGAGGTGATGCCAAGCAGCCGCTCCCTGCCACATCCCTGTGCTGTCACAGCTCAGCCCAATTCACTTCTAACACGGGGTGAGCAGACAGCAGGACGCTGCAACCCACAGCCCTTCCCTCAGCGTGGCTCTGAGTCATCCTCCCACGTCAGCCTGTCCCTGGCTCACCCTCCTGGCACTGCTCAGCTCTGACAGCAGCCCTTCCCTCCCCCCTCTCCCAGCAGTGGCCCACAAGCTCAGGCACACGCCACGAAGGCACTGACCCCACAAACTCATCCTTGGGCTGAAGGGCTCTGCAGATTCGGAGGGTCCTGGCAGCTTTAAATCAAACCAGCTGCAGGACTGGAAACAGCTGTGCAGGGAGAGGGCGGCTTCGCTGGGTTTGGACCAAAACAGTGCAGTCAGATCCTGCCTTCCCTGGGTGTTATGGCAATAAACACACCACAACCTGGCAGCTTTATAATGAGACCGTCCTCCTTGCTCCCCCAGGAGCCCAAGGAGCGCAGTGTTCTTGGAAAGGAAGACCCACAAGGGAAGCAAATGGGTTCACAGTGCCCAAAAGCAAGCTGAAAGCTCGGAGCTATGAAGGTAGAGCTCAGCATTCCCCACTGCTGGGATGGGAACTGCAGCCCAGCGTGACGCTGCAGCGCTTCAGAGGTAGGAAGCAGAAAAACAGCCCTGTGAATGTGCTCATCCCACAGCACGAAAACAAAGAAGAATTCAGGCCTGGAGCCAGGGAAGCACTTAAACACACCCCAAACAGCAGCAGAGTGGTCTCAAAGAAGGAGTGCAGTGCCCAAAGTGAAGCATGTGTTGAAGTGCTCTGCTGGATGGAGGCCATCAAGTCATCCCTGTGCTGCTGCCCTGCACAGAATCACAGAATTGCCAGGGTTGGAAGGGACCTCAAGGATCATGAATCTCCAACCCCCCTGCCACACGCAGGCACCTTTCTGCACACAAACACCACCACAGCATCCTGCAGTCACAGTGGGGAGGTGAGGAAAGAATAAACGTGTGCTGCTGGTGCTGCAGAGGAATAAATCTCCTTGCTGGGAAATGCAACACCCAGACTCCCAGGAGACCCCACAGTGCAGCCCCAGCTGGGACAGCCCTGCAGGAAGCTCAGGGCAGCATCCCATGGCAGCAGCAGGACAAACAGGTCTGAAAGCCTGCAGAGCTGCCTCACCTGGTTGTGGGCTCTACAGCCCGAGCTCCTCTCACGGGTACTTTTCCAAAGCTGCTCTGTAGGGGGGGAAGGCTGCTGCAAACAGGCGCCAGCAGGAAGCCCCAGACCGGACCCACTGGTTAGGCTGGCTTTCAAACAGGAAATCCTTCAGGATTTTTAAGTCTTTTAGGATTTCCTGCACAGAGCAGCGCCCGAGATTTGCCAGCTGCTCCCCCAGAGTGGGGAAGGGACACAGCCAGCAGCCCGGCCACGCAAAGAACTCTCCCTGCCCACCGCAGGCACAGCATGGGGGGAGGAAGGATTTTCCAAGCGTGGATAAACGGAGCTGAGAAGCTTCCCAGCTTCAGCTGGGAGCTTCAGAGGAGCTGGATGTGAGTTGGGAGCTCAGCGTTCCCCCAAAATCCAGCAGTGCCACACGGGAACGGCCCACAGCAGGCAGTGACGTTCAGAAATGCAGACACATCTTTAGCAGCGGGCCCCGAACAGCAGAAGGTTCCCTTTGGAGAGGAGTGGGGCGGGGGAAACCTCCACGTTCAATGAGTTTGGATCCCGACCCCCACAACGCGCTGCAGTTTGGAGCTCAGTGCCGAAGGGCTGAGCGATGCCCGCAGCCCCCCCCCCCCCAACGCGAACTATTTATTCCATCAGCTCTAATTACTCTGCTGTCATTAATTGTATCCGCCGATATTTCACATTACGGTTTGAACCCCCGGCACCTGCCGGAATTCCTCCCAGCACAAAGAACCGCCCGCTTTGCCACCCGCGCCCCCCGGTCCTCCCCGCCCCTCACCTCGCTGTCGCCGCCGCCGCCGCCGTTTTTCCTTCTTTTTCCCCCTTTTTCCCCCTCCTTCCCCTCAGCGCAGAGGCGCGGCCCGCACACCGCCAGGCCTACGCCGGGAGGACGGACTTAGGGCGGAGGAGGAAAGGGCGGGGGGAGGAGAAAGCGGCAAATAAAAAACCACATGGCGGGGCCGGGCCCCGAGCCGCCTTCCTCCGGCCGCCGGTTCACCTTAAGGCGGGGGAAGGCCGGCAGAGAGCGGCCTACGGGCCGGGCCTACACCTGCGGCCTACACCCGGGGCCTGTGACCTACACCTGTGGCCTACGGGCAGCGCCTGAGGCCTGCGGACCGGGCCTACACTTGCGGCCTACGGGCAGTGCCTGCGGCCTACGGGCAGTGCCTGCGGCCTACGGGCAGTGCCTGCGGCCTACGGGCAGTGCCTGCGGCCTACACCTGAGGCCTACACCTGAGGCCTACGGGCCGGGCCGGGCCTACGCCTGCGGCCTACACGGGCAGTGCCTGCGGCTACACCTGAGGCCTATGGGCCGGGCCTACGCCTGCGGCCTATGGAAAGCGCCTGCGGCCTACACCTCGGGCTTAGGCCCAACAGCCCCCGGACCGGGCTTGAGGAGCTCCGGGTGTCCCCCCTCCCCGGAGCCGCTCCGCCTCTCCCGGCAGCCCGCGCGGTGCCGACGCCCCACCCTCAGGGCCGTGCCGGGCCGTACCGGGCCGTGGCGCGGGTTGGGGGTCTGGGCCGGGCGGTGGTCGCCGCCGTCATGGAGCGGTTCTTGGAGGGGCGGCGGGCGGCCCTGCAGGTATGGCCGGGATAAGGGCTGCGGGGTTGGGAGACGCGGGGGCGGGGGGGTGCGGGACAGCGGGTAGAAGGGGATACGTGGGGGTGGGCATAGAAGGGGTGTGGGGTTGGGGACACGGGAAAACCGCAGGGATGCGGAGGGTGTGGAAAGAGGGACTCGTGGGGACGGGGGTGGGCAAATCCCACAGACTGCGCTGTGTGGGGTGCAGGGAGAAGAGCAGCACACGGACGGGGGGACACGGGGAGGGTGCGGGGGGTGAGAGCCCCCATTACCTCTGCAGGAGGGCCCATATTCCCCCCCACGCAACCCCAGGGGCTGGAGGTGACAGCATTGTGACCTGCACTTCTCCATGGAGTTCCCCCACTCCGGCCCTGGAGGCACAGCACACGTGGGGCAGGGGTCCCCCCAGCCACCCATCCTCTCCTTTGGGGCTTTTGGCAGGTGGGGGGACCTGCAGTGAATGGCACAGGCACCAGGTTCAGCCCGCGGCTGTTTACTTCTTCAGTGGAATAAATACAGGAATCTGGGTTATGCTGTGAAGTATTTGTCACTGGAGAAAAGTCTGCAGGCAGGGCGTCTCCCTGGAGCGTTGTGTGCTGTGCTGAGGGGAGGGATTTGGGACAGAGGATCTGTGGGGTGACAGTGGGGTCCCTGCTGTTGCCTGGGCTGAAAGGGGCATTTTGGGGGTCAGAGCACCACACCGACAGTGTCTGCTAGCTGGGTGAATGGAGGCAGCAGCTGGGGCTGAAAGTTCCGTCTGCTTTTCACCACATCCAGAAAACTCACTTTGGTCTGAGGTTAAACTAATAAGACTCCACAGTGGGTCCTCCATCTCCCACGGGTGCTGCATCCCTGGGTGAGTGGGGGATCTCAATTCCCACTGCTGCAGTGCTGTGTGACCTGTTTGGGTTTCTCCTCTCCCAATTTCTCACACGTGTGCTGTTAACGTGAGGCTTTCAAGCCGCAGAGCAGCCCTACCTGGGTTTCTCGCTTGGTTTGCCCATCCCTGCGAGCTGCTCCTGAGGGTGCTGCTCTGTGAGGCTACAAATGGCTCTGTATGCACCCAGTTGTGCCCTTCAGGGGCTTTTGGGGGGCAGATGTGTCCCAACGGGGCTGACATCTCACTCTTTGGCAGGAGCACATCCAGCGTCGCCAGGAGGTGCACGTGGTGATGGGCAATGAAGCCTGCGATCTGGACTCCACCGTGTCTGCCCTGGCCCTGGCCTATTTCCTGGCAAAGGTGAGGCTGCCTGCGTGCTGCTGGGCAACCTGGGGGCTCAGGGGACGCCTCACCAGGTGCTGATCTCCCCCCATGCAGACCTCTGTGCCACCCAGAGCCGCCTTCATCCCGGTGCTGAACATCCCACGCGCCGACTTCGCTCTCCGCACGGAGACGACGTTCCTGCTGCGGGAGCACAGCATTCCGGACTCCTCACTCATTTTCCGTGATGAGATCGACCTGGCTGGGCTGCACAGGGCTGGGCTGCTCTCACTGACGTTGGTGGATCACCATGTCCTGCCCAGGTGAGCACCGGGGTGGGATGTGGCTGTGACACACCGCTTCCTTCTCTCTATAGTGAAGGGGTCGGATTTCCACCCAGGGTGGGTAAAACCTTTGTGCTTCCAGGGTGCTTTTAAGGCAGGAGGAGAGGAGCAGAGGGGTCTCTGCTGACAGTGGTGCATGGTTGGGGCATGCTGGGGCTGTGCCAAGGCTCTCACCGTCCCCATCTCACCCGCCAGCGCCGATGCAGCCCTGGAGGAGGCCGTGGTGGATGTGCTGGATCACCGGCCGCTGGAGCGGGAATGGGCACCCAGCTGCCAGCTCACGGTGGAGCTTGTGGGCTCCTGCGCCACGCTGGTGACAGAACGGATCGCCCAGGGCCCCCCGGGCGTGCTGGACCAGACCACAGCCGCGCTGCTGCATGGTGAGGCTGCCGGTCGGGCTCTGCTCTGCCAGTGTGGGGCTCTGTTCCCGTGTGCCAACAGCCCCGGTCCCTGCAGGCACCATCCTGCTGGACAGCGTGAACCTGAGCCCCGCCGCCGGCAAAGTGACGCCCCGCGATGTGCTCTGCGTCTCCCTGCTCGAGTCGCGCTTCCCGGAGTTGCCGCCCCATGACAGCATCTACGGAGCACTGCAGGCAGCCAAGTTTGACGTCTCAGGTCTGGTGCTGGAGGCTTGGCAGCCCTGTGCTGGGTGCTGGGATGTGTCTGTGGTGCTCACGTTCAGCCCCTCTCCCTTCCCAGGGCTGACAACGGAGCAGATGCTGCGGAAGGACCTCAAAACCGTCTCCAGTGATGAACAAGTCCTCGCCACCAGCGGCATCTACATGGACATAGAGGTGAGGCTCAGCGAGGGAGGCTGAGGCCCAGCATGGTGTGATGTGTGACACCAACCTCCTCCTCCAGCTCTTCCTGCGCCGCCCTGGTTTGCTGGAGGACCTGGAAACGTTCTGCCAAGCTCGTGGCTACTCTGTGCTGGTGGCCATGACGGTTTCCTTTAATGAGCGCTATGAGCCCAAGCGGCAGCTGGCGGTGTACAGCCAGCACGAGGCCCTGCGGAGCATGGTGAGCCAGCACGAGGGTGTACAGAGCAGGGTGTTTTGTCCTTAGAAGCCCCCCAGTTCAGGGCTGGGGGTGTCAGAGCTGCACCAAAGAGGCTGCCTTCTGTCCCCTCCAGGTGTGCCGTGCGCTGGAGGAGGCCACAACCCCGGCACTGCAGCTGCAGGCCCTGCCCAGCCCCTGGCCCTGCATCAGTGCCTACGCGCAGGGCAACACACTGGCCTCCAGGAAGAAGGTGCTGCCCATCCTCCGGGCTGCTCTGGGGGGTAGGCCGGGCACCACGGCGGGGCTGGAGGAGGAGGTGGCTCCTCCACCCACCCCGATGAACAGCCTGGTGGAAGAGAGCCCACTGGCACAGGCTGTGCCCCCCGTCTGCCCCCAGGCTGTGCTGGAGCGGGTCAGCCGCATGGCTGCTGAGCAGCCCCCTCCTGACTCTGACAAGTGAGGGGTTCTTAGTGGTGCATGGGGTGCTGTAGGGGTCACGTCCCCAGCATGGAGCTGCAGCTTCCTCTGCCTGAGCCTGGCTAGCTGCCGCAGCCCCCTCCTCACTGCCAGTTGCCCCCAGTGCGCCCCCCCCCCCCTTCCTGCTGGGGTTGGTGCTGTGGGGCCTGCAAGGAGCGGGGCAGCACAGTTAATGAAGGCACTGAGGGGTGTTAAGGAATTCTTCCCCTCCTGGCTACTGGGGGGGGGGAGGGGGCTGAAGTGCCGGATCTGGGCACACAGCTGGCTGGAGACTGTTAACCACCATTTCAGTATTAAATTTACCTCTTTCCCCCTCACTGCTGGCTGTTGGTTTTTCTTTATTAATCCCCAGTGCTGCCCCACACCCAGCACAGCCCCACAGGTGTCCCGCCTCCTGGGCTGGGTTGGGGATGTGACAGAGCTGAACCCCCACATCCAGCCCCCCCCCAGCCCCACATCCCCCTAGCACTGAGCAGCCTGGGCAGCCCATAGGCCCCATCTCTGCCTAGCACAAGATTTTATTTCAAAGGTGGGGTTTTGTCGGTTTGTTTTTCCAGTGGGTTTTCCAGGGGGATAAAAACTGACTCAAGCATCTGTGCTCACAGGGCACACCGTGGGGCTGAGCAGCCCAGCAGCACTGGGAGCACAGGGGAGGGAAGGGAAGCTCGGCTGCCCGTGTGGCTCCGGCATCTGCTTGTTCCTGTTCAGCCCCGGCGCTATTTAAACTATGTACACGTGCGCCTGAATTGGGAACCTGAGAGTCCCTCTTTCCTGGGGGAGCAGCCGGTGCCGGTGAAAGCCTGACGGTAACAGGAGAGGCCAAGTGGGGGTTTTTGAGCTTTTTAAAAAAAAAAAAACAAAACAAAAAAATCTCCTACAAAAGAAGGAAGGCGGAGGTTTGCTGGCGGTGATGCCGGTTGAAGGCTGGAAGAAATGCAGGCTCGGTGGCGGTGCTGGAGCTGCAGGATGCCCAACGCTGGGGCTCTAAGGCTCTGTAACACCTCCCCAGCTCAGCCCCTGCAGCACAACCCGCCCTGCTGCTGTCCGATGGGGAAACTGAGGTGTGGGGGGCAGCACCGAGATGGGCCCGTGGGAGACAGCAGTGCCAGCTGGGGTGTGAGGAAAGGGAGAAGGGGGAGGATTTGGCACATCGTGGCTGTGCACGGCGTCTCCCGGTGTGGGCTGGGCTGCTCTGCTGTCCCCTGCATTGCTGGCCCGGTGCCCCGGAAGGGGGGGATCTGTGGGGGGTGACCCAGAGCTGCTGGGATGGCCGTCAGGCTCCGCCTGCATAAGTTACCACGGGAATCAAGCGCTCGAGGTTGGCTTTTCCTCCGGTGTGTGGGGATCAGGCAGTTCAAGTTTGGGCTGAAAGAGCCAAGAATCTGCAAAGTTGGAGAGACGACAGGTTACAAAACTGCCCGAGCGGCGGCGGCTCGTTAGATGCGTTAATTAGCAGCGTGCCTTGGATGGTGACAGTGGGAGCTCAGGGCTGTCCCACTCCTGCACTCATGGCTGCATACTCACAATGCTACAACACACGGGAGCTGCTCCACTGCCGCTCCCGTCCGCCTTTGGACCTCATCTCCTGCACAGCGCCCGTCTGCAGGGAAAGGAGAAACGTTTCACCACCACAGCAAGTGGTCACCAACCCAGGGCAGCCCAGCACCGAGGAGAAAACCCCGTCGTGCCACCCCAAGGGCTTCCAGCCCCCTAGAAAGGCAGCACATGGGAAGGAGCCACTGTGCAAGGGTGAAATCACAGCACCCTCATGCTGAGCCCCAGCACCCTCCCAGTCACCCCCAGGCCGTACCATGGGCAGCCCCTCGCCCGCAGCCATGTCTCCGGAGCCGATGTGTGTCAGGTGCACAAAGTTCATGGGCTCGCCAATCATGGAGCGGTCGATCCGTCTCCTCCTCTTCTTCTGCGTGGGGATGAAGGCCATCAGTCCCCCCTGCACCCAGGACCCCCCCAACAACCATCCTCTCCCTCCCCCCCTCGCAAGGCCGCACAGCTACTCACAGGCTGTGGTTTCTCCACGACGCAGCAGCCCAGCTTGTGCCAGAAGTCGCTCATATTTGCGGTGCCTTCCAGCTTTCCTCCCAGCGGGGCGGGGGCTGCGCCGCTGCAGAGACCCCCGTGTGCTCTCACTCCATGGGGACGGGCGGGGGGAGGCACCTGGTGGGCGGGGAAGGCACCTGAGGGGGGGACAGGGAGAAGGATTTGTCCCTGAGTGGCACCACAGCTCAAGGGGGCACAGTGGGCTGGGGGGTGTGGAGGCAGCCCTGCTCCCCAGAGGGGTCCTGCAGGGAAACTGAGGCACGGTAATTGGGAAGTGGGGGGGGGGGGGGGGCAGCTGCCATCCTGACACCCCCAGTCTGACCCTCAATGCACTGAGCATTGACCCATGGGCATGCAGGGACGGCCATGGGGTGACCCGGACCCCTCTACCCTCCTGTGCAGGACATGGGGAGGATGTTGCCATGGGATGGGGGGGCACAGCAGTGAATTGCA